CGTGATCAGCATTTGCTTTGGGACTCTTGCACCATGGCGTTAAGCCCAATAGCCAACACTTATTTCACGATTCAGACATTATCATTCCAGGCACCATTGCCTTTGTGCCTAAAGCCAAAATACATTGGTATCTGCAAATTGCCAATTGGATCGTTTATTTCCTCAGCTTGCCGCAGGTACACTCCATTGGGATAAGATCTTCTCAGCCTTGACTTGGCTCACGGCTCATGTACCGCTTCGATGGGCCTGGACCTCGACCTCAAATAGTATTGATTCATGATGGGATCCGTTTCATATTTTTGTTGGCTCTAATCTTCGTTCGCAACAATTCATTTTGCACCATGCATTGATGGAACTCGAACACGTCCTAGCCCGTGATCTAGTGCTGACTGATCTTCACAGTAGCTATGGCCGAGAATATATCTAACGACGATTTGTCAATTCAAAATTTGTTGGTAGCATATGGGGCTCACATGAAAAGGCCCCGTGTGGAAGGTTCAGACGCATCTTCCACCCAAATTGGCAAGGGGATCGAAAAACCGATCCAACTTCTCGGACTCATCTTCGAGATCAGACTCCGATGCCCCGCAAGTCCAGATGTTGGCCAAGATTTCCCTTCGACAGGAGGACATGCTGAACGTCATGTCAAGTTTCCTTCTGTTTCTTCAGGCGGGCAAGGGCTCCATACTCCCAACTATGCTCATGGCCTCAAAAGAATGGCACACTCAGAAGCAACAAGCGGGTATCACATGTCTCCTCCAACAAGTTCTCTTCCTGAAGGTGGTCGAGGAATTGGTCCAATGGATTGGCAAATTCAATCCAGACGACCAATGAAGACGCATTGTGTGCCAACTTCCGGGCCAAGCAGATCCTGACAACTCAACACGAGTGGAATTAGCTGACTTGGGATCACCAAGCCAAGTGTCCACGACCCACCAAGCAGGAGCTTCTGTCGTTTGCACGGGTCAAAGAGATCCTAATGTTGTTGGTTCGTTTGGGAGCCAACACCGAGCTGATCCACCGCTTCTCACCATTGAAGGCCCATCAATCAGGATGACATCACGGACGATCATTTGGTCACCATCCCGTGGAGGCTGGACCTATCGATGCGCTCACCAGAGAGCCATCAGCTCCACGGCGCGCTACAGGCTCTTTGTGGGAACGGAATGGGCCAGATGATTTTGCTTCGGCTGCGCCCCACATCCCTGCAGAGATCACCGTTGGCCCAGGCCATTGGATAGTTGGGATAGTTGGCCACAGTTGGGGTGATCAGCGCGTTGCTGCTGAATATGCAGGGTGAATTCGTGAATCGTCTATGCGCCACCAAGCATGGGGACAATCTGCCTCCGGATGGCAATGTAGATTGCAAGCCAGTCTTGAGGACTCCGGAGCTTTGATCGTTTCGATCCTGCTTCATTGCCCGGATCAAAAGATTTGCGCATTCCAAACCATGATTCATGCATGGCGCAACCAATCTCCTTTCACATATGTGTGCCTGACCGAGCATCCCAATATTTATTTGCAAATAAAGGGATTGCCAGATTTGCACACCAAGCACAACCTGAAAATTGATTTTCCCAGGTCAACTGTTCACATTCCAATTTTTAGACGAGCCACCGGCCTTGATGCAAATTGGGCTAAATATCGTATCCTAAATGTAGCACTTCACCTGGGTGATGGGCCCAGTGAAGGACACTACAGTCTATGGATGGCAGATGATGATAAATTGCCTTAGTTGCAGATTCGTTCCGGAGTTGTAGTGCCTCAGAGCCAATTCGCACGTTTTTGGAAACGTCCTTTTAAGCCTGCGTCCACGCTAGGCCAATGGATTCGGTTTTTAACCGACGCATTTCGATGACCTCACGCTTGCGCCTAGATGCTCCTAAAGCATCCATATATAGTATGTTTCCCATTACGAATCAATAAATTCTTTAACCGGAAATGAAATAAAATAGAATTATTCGATAATCAAAATTATAATCTATATTGTAAAAAATTACACCACCGTAGACCCCAAATAGTTTGCGTTTTTCAAAATCGGAACACTCTGCAAATAGAACTTGCGACGTCGAGAGCTGGGAGACAAATGTAAAATTAAGGATTGCAAGGCAGAGGCGGACACAGCAGCCCAGCGCTGGGAGACAAATGTAAAGGATTGCAAGGCAGAGGCGGACACAGCAGCCCAGAGCTGGGAGACAAATGTAAAGGATTGCAAGGCAGAGGCAGACACAGCAGTCCAGAGCTGGGAGACAAATGTAGACACAGGGAGGCAAATGTAAAGGATTGCAAGCGACGCGCAGCCCAGAGCTGGGAGACAAATGTCAAGGATTGCAGGGCAAAGCAGCTGGGAAACAAATGTGAAGGGTTGCAAGCGAGAAGGGAGAGAGAGGAGGCATATGTAAAGGAAAGAAGGAAGACAAGGCGGACACAATGACCAACAAGAAGTGGCACAACAAGGGAGACAAGAAGAGAGACAAAAGGAAACAGAAGGGAGACAAGACGGACACAGTGTCCAACAAGAAGGGAGACAAGACCGGAGACAAAGGGAGACAGGAGACAAAAGGAAACAGAAGAGAGACAAGACCGGAGACCAAGAGAGACAGAAGGGACGAGGCGGACACAATGACCAACAAGAGGGAGACAAAAAGGAGACAAAAGATAACAAAAGGGATACAAGACGGACACAACGATCAACAAGAAGGGAGACAAGAAGGGAGACAAAAGGAAACAGAAGGGAGACAAGACGGACACAATGACCCACAGGAAGGGAGACAAGACCGGAAACAATTAAAGAATGGAGACAAGGCGGACACAATGACCCACAAGAAGGAAGACAAAAGGAAACAGAAGGGAGAAAAGGCGGACACAGTGACCAACAAGAAGGGGGACACCAAGGGAGACAAGCCGGACGAAAGGCGGACACGCTGTGCAACAAGGCGGACACTTAGAGAAAGCATTTAGAACCCCTAACAGTAACCTGTTTGGGTATGTACGGAAATCACCTGGGAGATAAATGAATAGAAATGCTGGAAAGGGGAAAAAGGCGGATGCCAGTAGTGCAAACACCGAACCTGGAAAATAAAAAAAGTAAACAAATTACATGGGAAATAAATGAGTAGAAATGTCGCATGGCCAGCGGAAAAGGGCGGACACCAGTAGTGCAGACACCGAACCTGGGAGACAAAAGTAAAGAAATTATTTTAAAAATAAACGAATTGAAATGTTGTATGGCCAGCGGAAATGGGCGGATACCAGCAGTGATAGAAAGGGCGGACACATCTTAAGAAAGAATTGAGAAACCCTACGTAACGGCAAATTGTTTGGGGAATGAATAGAAATGTTGCATCGCCAGCGGAAAAGGGCGGACACCAGCAACGATAAATTTGGGAGACAAATGAATAGAAACCTACATGGCTAGCGGAAAAGGGCGGAAACCACCAGAGACAGCGGACACCAGCAACTGTCAGAATTGGGAGACAGCGGACACCAGCAACTGTCAGAATTGGGAGACAAATGCATAGAAATGCTATATGGCCAACGGAAAAGGGGGGACACCAACAGTAACGGAAAAGGGGGGACACCAACAGTAACAGACCTAGAAGACAAATGAATAGACACGCTATATCGCCAACGGAAAAGGGCGGACACCAGCAACGACACACCTAAGAAACAAATGCATACAACCGCTACATGGCCAGCGGAAAAGGGCGAACACCACCAATTCCAGCGGACACCAATAGCGACAGACCTGGAAGACAAATGCATAGAAATATTGTATAAAAGGGCGGACACCAGAATAGAAATGTTGCATAACCAGCGGAAAAAGGTGGTCCCCACCAATAACAGACCTAGGAGAAAACGAATAAACCGAATACCAATAATAACAGACCTAAGAAACAAGTAAACAGAAATGCTACGTAATCAGCGGAAAAGAGCGAATACGAGTACGAGCAATAACAATCCTAAAAAACAAATGAATGAAAAGCTTATATGGCCAACGGAAAAGCGCGAACACCATCAATAACATAAAGCATAAATATATCTTAAGAAAAAATTAAAACTTCCTAATAATAAATTGATTAGAAAAATATAAATATATCTCAAAAAATAATATATACATTTAAATTTATTTGTTAATATAATTTATTTATCCTAATATTTTAATATTATTATCAATTATTCATATTATATATATCATATACATATATTATTAATAATATTCATTATACTAAAATTTATTCAAATTTATTATAGAAATTATCGATATTAATATCCAATATAAAAATTCATTTAATATATTTAATTTATTAATTATAATATTTATCATTAATATATAATCTTTTAATCAAAATTATCATCATAATATGTTTTTTATAATGCCAATCATTAGTTTTTCGATTATCGATAAATTTTATTCTTATATCGTAATCGTAATTATTTAATAATAAAATAAGTTATTATTAAAAAGAAAATTCAATAAATTAATATATTTATATTTATATATATATAATTGATTCCCGTCCGTCGAACCTGTTGAAAAACAAATTGACCCAATCATTAAGATTTGTGCAGTCATGCCAGATGATATTCGGATCCAGCAATTCCTTCCTCATACGAGCTCTTCGAACCACATGCGTCATTTGTGGAGCTTCATCCATCTCGACCCCTTGTTGTAAGCGCATGTGAAGCAAATGCATCCTGATCTGCGGTATGCAGGGATGCGTTTCTCGACGGAACGAATTGTATGGCAGCTTGGCTTTGCATCAATGCGGGACGCGAGCAAAGCCGCATCGATGTCAACTCTTGATGATGTCCCTCCACCTGTTGTCATAGTATATTGGAGGTCTGGGCTGAGGTCTCGTACAGCCCGGTGACATGAACCACAGTCCATGAATCCATGACGACAAAACCCTTGCTTACGAAACTGTTTGGGGTCTGAGTCTGTGCTGGTATAGTTTTACATATTCGTTAAACTCCAAAATCGCGTTCGATACCTTTTTGATCTCGAATCGCAACAATTGCAGAGGTACAATGCCACTCAGTGTTTCAAGTCTGCATGCACCAGGACCGGTAGGACTGCTATTGCGTCCTCCTCACTCAGCCTTGATGTTACTGTATATGAGGAAGACAAATTTCGATGCACCAATGAAGCCCAGTGAGCCACAAAATAGAGCTAGACCAATGCAGAAATTTAATGAGGTGCCAAAGTAGTACACAGTCTGTAGAAAGCCAGACCTCGGTTTGCGTTGAATTCAACACTGATGTTCCTATTTAAACAAAGCGATTGATTTGACCAGAAGAACCATTGAAAGCCCACACCAAAGTAAGCTAAGATTTCAACATTTGCGTTGAGTTGTAGAAGTAGTGAATGGTGTAGAGGAAAACGTAGAGGGCTGTCGCTGCACAACTAATGTACGACTGCCACTGCCACCTGTAATCCTCTGCATTGAGGAGGATGTAGGTGCAAGTAATGCTGACACAGACTATTACCAGGCATAGAAGGACAAGGATGGCAAACATGAAGCCGTACACATAGTAAATCTTGTTGTGGCTCCAGACTGCGGACAGGATGAAGTACATCTCAATGAAGAGGCAACCAAATGGTACTATTCCTGCATCAAGTCCACCAAATCACTAAATCAGCGCTTTCTTTCAAAACAGAACGGCCGACCTGCAACCATGGTCATTATAGGCGTGAAGGCCCAATGCTTTGTTGGTATAGGCCTGGAAAGGGCAGCTGTGCAAGCTGAACACCTAAAGCATCACATCAAATCAAAGGGTAAAGAACCCACTTATATAGTGACTCAGTTATGACTACATCACCAGTCTTTGCAGTCATTTTCAAGAAACTTCGGATCTAAAGGAACCTCTTCAAGTGATGAACTCGGCAAGGGAATGACCGCTCTGAGGCTGCTCTGCGTCCGAGCAGTGTGCCAACCTCACCACCGCAGTTTGTAGTTGAGACATCTTTTTCGACCTTTAGGAACGGAACTCTCACCCACCACCTTTTGCAGTCTGTGCTCCAAGTTTGGGGCTGTGTGCAGCGGCACGCATACAGCCAGAAAGAGCACAATAATTATGAAAATTGTCTTGAACGGCACCTAGCGCAAATGTTCAAGTCTGAAAAGCGTTGAAGCAAAAGGCGCGGAAACTCCGAGTCAAGTGACTGTCATTGTAGCCCTGTAGAAGATTGCCGTCGTGTTGATGACAATGAAGCTGATGAGAACCTGGCGTGCAAAATCATTCACAAGAGGCAAAAGGAAACCAAACAAGTCTCGACACTTAGATCCTCACAACTCCAGGCATGAACAAGCACTGGTAAACCATGGTCCTCAAAGGTAAAATTACCGGTGATTGGTATGGATCATACCACTGTTGACTGAAAGCACGACTGTCCTCTTCCATTGCTGTCCGCCGAACATTCTGAATATTCTGCCACCCTCATAGCCACCAACCTCAGCAAGGGCAAAATAAGGTCTGCAAAGTATGCACAGTACTGTGAATGCCACGACTGCAGAGAGAGGGAGAGAGAGAGAGCGCTACTGAGGTATTGGCAATGACAGTGCACAAATATGCAATGACAAATGACCCTGCAGTTGCACCGCGGGATGCATAGTACCTGCAAAAGGTCGTAGGTGTGGCCCTGACAGCCCAATACTGCAGGCTATATAGAGGGCACGAGTTGCATATCGCAAAAATGAGAACGATGAAGACGGTGCATGCCAAATGGCAGCCGGATGCATAGACCACAGTAAAGATTGCTAGATGATCTGGCTTTCGAAACACATCGCCGTTCACTTGCTTCCAACCGCTTTCGTCACCTGAGGCCGGAAAGGTGCAGGCAAAGCTCTGTCAAAGAGTCATTCAATCCAGAGCAAAACAAACCTACACACAAACGAAGTCAAGTATGAGAGAGGCGCTATTGTGTTGGAGCATGTTCATGTAGTTCCTGTAACTTTAGCTCGGGGGCGGTTTTTTGGTTTGGGAACAGAATTGCATATCCGGCATCATGAGGCGTGTCGGGAGGGGAAGTGGTTGGTGATGGGAGAAACGGAGAAAGCATGCAAAAAGACTAGGAAATGAAGGTTTTCCAACGGTGAGAAATGACCCAACTTTTGGAAGGATACATTTGTTTGCCTTTCAGAGATCTCTGGTGTGGAAATGATGCAACAATGAACCATTTTGTAAGAAGTATATGCAATAGAAAGATAAATAAATACGTATTGACTAATAGACATGCAATTTGGATATAAGTTGGACCCTCCTGAATGGTGCACAATCTGAAGGTCGAAAAAGACAGTGACAACCTACAGATGAACGGGAAGCATGCAGTGAATGCCTAAAAGAACTATTTTGGAAACAATCCCCTGAAACAATTCCAAGAGGGTCGAAAAATAGAGTGATTGCAATAAGCAATACAATGTGCATGATCGATAAAAAACCTAGAGATGAACGGTACCATGCAGTGGATGAAAGAAAAGAGTATATGGACAATAAAAAGATCGCATGCATTATATATTTGCTATAATTTGGACCCAAAAAAACATGTACTTTTTCAAGGGGGTCGAAAAATAGAGTGATTACAACAACCTGGACAATATGGAAGATCGACATTGAGTCCTAGACAGTGGATGAACGGTACTATGCAAGGGTGTTCAACTGTTTCCTTGTGCAGTCTGTCAGAGCAAATGGTGCGGGCGGTTATCATCGTCAAGCGACCTGAATTAAACTGACCCCTGTGTGCTTTGTCGGAACTGTCGGGAATTTCTGAAACAGGCATTGAGGGTAACCTTCATGTTTCAATCGGTTTCAATATGTTTCAATGTTTCAACCCAACAAAAGCTGGGAACCTTGCCTACTCCATCCAAATTCTCCAGTTCTTCAGCTTCACTGGCAGAGTACCGCGTAAAGTCTTGCCTTGGGAGCAGGTGTGCACTTCTTCTTTCATGAAGTAAAAACCTCTTGGGGCTGCGCTTGAGGGTCTTCATCAAGATGATGGCAACAACGGTGCATAGAAAAAGGCACAGCATGAAAGAGTTGACGATTGAAAACCAATGTACCTTGGGCATGAATAGGAATCTTCTTGGCGAGAACAATACACCATGCAGTATACTGCTTTGTCAAGGAAACAAGCAGCATGTGACCACGTGTACCTTTCCAAGTTTGGGCAAACATCTGCCAAAAAAAACAGGCTTGCCTTGTGCTCAAAGAACTTGGGATCCAAGTACCGATTTGTTCTGTCCTGGAATTTGGAAAGTAAAACAAAATGAGTTAGCCTCCTGGGCCTGCCGGTTGGTCCACCTGCCTTGAACTCTTTGTCGGTATGAAACCAGAGAACGGTATAGGAGAAGTTCAACGGAGCTCCAACATAGACCGGCCATGGGCTGGATGGCTCCATGTCTACCTTGCAATTTTTGCTAGGCGACTCACTTCGCACAAAAAGTTATAAGTGTCCTTTCTTGTCTGCTTCTACCTTACAGCCTTCTTACTCTCTTACATTTCCCCGTTCTTCCCTTCATTATGTGTTTTCTTCCTTTCTTAGTCAGCCCAAGTCCTGCCTCTATGATTTGATCATTGTTGTAGAAGAGGGTGAAGTGCCGATGAGTGTAGATTCGCGGGAGAGGCTTTCCCTGCAGCGTGCAAAGCTTCACAAAAGTTGTGGGGAGTTATGGCAGCTGAGCCTTTAAGTGCTTTGGAACAGGTGGTGCTGCTCCGGAAGGCATCTGCAGCGACTTGTTGTTGTCACGGTACATCATCGAAAACCGGCCTTGGAAATCAAGCTTTGCTGAGCTGAGCTGAGCTGAGCACTACAAGAACCATCAAAGGTAAGGGCACGGCTGACATCTAGGGCAAATTTGGAATGTTCTCCAACGAAAGCCCATATTGGCAAATCGTCAATATAGAGCTGGTACCTCGGGACCAAGCAGCACGCTGCAACAAAGAACATACACCATTCAACAAGAACGAAGCCCTTGACAAGGGTCACACCAGTAGTTATCATTGATCATGGTGGCCAGAGCCTGTCACACTTGTTGGGAGAACCAAGAGTGGCGCCAGAACCAATTCCACAATTGCAAGAATTGCAAAGTCGCTTGGCACTCCCTCACGCCTTGGCCTTCTCTTCGTTCAATTTCATATTGCAGAGCGGGGTCTGGGCTTTGTTCTGACCAAAATGAATGTCCAACCTGGAGTCTTCACCGACCAGCTGCAGGCGTTTTGTCATTTCATGACAAACTTCATAGAAATCTGAAGAAATTTGACATCCAAGACATACCTTGGCGAGGAGAAGAAAGCGTGCCCTTCAAGAGTCTCACCGATGGAAAGCCTTGGCCAAAGTCGAACTTGACACCAGCCCCGTTGAACCGTTTCACCTATTGAGTTGATGATGCAAGAAATGCTTCCAATGTCATAGCATTTCTTGCATCATGGATACCTTTAAGAGTTCCAATCAAATGTGGTTGCAGGCTGTGTGATGAAAAATGGTGGGTGCAGCAGAACAAATGGACCCGTGGGTGGCGACCACAAGTCAAAATAGATCGACCATCAAAATTATGTTGGATAAAGTCTGGATATGTATTCTGGATGTATTTCTTGTGAATTGCTGGATGGTCGGATGCCCTTGGCCAGTTAGGGTAACATCTCACAAATCGGTGGAAAACTAGTGCGGTCGGGAAGCGACGCGAATGAAATGAATCTGGTTGTCAACAAGACCTACCTTCCCTTTGCTGTCAACAAGACTTTTTGTTCAAAAATGCTTGCAGTGCATTCTTTGCAGATTCGGCCCATAGAGTGCAAACCAAGGCAGAAACTCTCCCTGCTCCACGGCGATATCTTCGCCTTCATAGCTCCCCAATCGTCGTTCGAATGATGCTTGTTGCTGGGTAGTGAGGTCCAAGACAGAACATCATAGCAAGGAGTAGAATAGGAAAGCAAGAGGTAGAAAAAAATCCTTCTGGCTCACATCGCAGCTTAGGCATGCACCCTCCAGCTCACACAGGCCAAGTGTGCTGTATTCGTATGTCTCCTGGGTAGAAGAAAACCCATTGGAAAACCTATTAATGAATACATCTCTTGAAACAACAAAGAATACACAAAAAAACACATTCAGAATCTGCCTGGACAAGGACATCTTCCAAATACTTTGTATGGAATGAACTATGTTGCTGCTCCAATGTGGTCCTGTGGATTGTTGTAAGGACCAACCTTGTCTGTCCAAACAACCACGTCTTCTCCCATGTTGTACGTGTGCGTATCTTTGCCTCAGAGGAAACACGAGAAAACATTGTTTGACAAAGTCACGAATGCAAATAGCGCCTGCCCACACTATTGACGGGTTTGTAGCAGCCAAAACTGCCACCGCAGCCATCCAGGCAGAACCTCCATAAAACACATGACTGCTCAGTTTGAAAAAGTTGTATGCGAGACAATTCAACCTGCCTGCCGGCATTGCCACAGTGACTGCTGGCGGTGACGCCAGAAACCCACAGGTCTATCTCCCAGACTACCCCATATGCCGCTGAGCCCGGAAGCTCAACGGTCAGTCAGTCAGTGTCACAAGCAACTTGAAAAATCAACTTACATCTTGTCGTCCCAGCATGACACCAGAATCTCATTTGGCCTCGCTTGGCCACAACTGAAACAGGTGTTTGATCCAGCCATCACTCATGATTCCCACACAGCCAGCTGGTTTCTTGCCCTTCGTGAAATTACTTTTTATGCTCTGTTTAGTTTTTGTCTCATGTTCTCCACTGTAACTTTCAAGCATATGCAGAAACAATTGAAGCTACGTACTATTCAAGAACAGCTGGAACTTTGCAAAATGATTGGCTCCGTCCCATTCAAGCAATGCACTTTAGAAGTTGGTTTACACATTGTTTCGTGCGCTTTTGAGAGGCGGAATAAAGTGCACGTGAATCCAAAACCAACGGAAGTGCTCCTCAGGTGGCTGACGAAATTTGTGCGAAGCAACAGGTGTGGGTGAGTCTGCTTTGAATGCTGCTTGGGAGCACAGTGAAACCCGGAATCCTCATTTCTCTCTTTCAACAAAGCCCGACCAACAACTGGCACTTTTGGAAACGAAGTCGAAAAGGCCACTGACATTGCCGTGCAACTCAAGATCAAGATCCACAGTCTTCTTTCCGGCAAGCTTGGCCTGTGCGAACCAAAACAATGTCCAACGGTTTTTTGTCACCGAAAAGAACCTGAAGACTGTCAGCGTCTACGAACTTCAAAGGTGAAGAACCAAATCACAGCTGTGAAAGTTCTAATTTACAGGTGACAGTCTGGCACTTTCTAGACAAACCATTGTTGGGCGACTTTGAGCGACACGAGGCTTTCCAATTGCAATCACCTGCAGCAATTTGCCAAAAGAAAAGGCTCGACAAAGGCGGACCAGCCTGTCAAACGGACAGCTTTCGGCGGGTTTTTCCTTCAAGGCTGGACTTTGCAAGGCACACGTTGTTGTTGTTTGAGACTGCGAAAATTGAATGAAATGATTCATGAGATGAGATGGTCTTTGAAGTTGGTGTGCAAGCTGTAAAAACCTTGGACCACTTCCAACTTGAAGGCATTGCCTTCACCAGAGGTCTGGAAGAGACTGTGCGAGTTGCCAGAAGGGTTTGACCTCCAGGAAAGCCTCTTTCTTCCTTTGAGGAAAACAACATGGACGCGGAGATTCCACCACTTCCGCCACCAGTTGACGTTGAAATGCCACCGGAAGATGAAGTTGAACCTGTATCAATTGCCATCGATCGAGTTTCTGAAGAAGGGGAGCTTGAAGGTGACCAGTGGATTGAACCTCTAGTGTGACAAAGCTGAAACATGGAACATGCGGAAGGTGTTCTTCAGTTTGGAAATGCCATCAGAAGTTTTCGCACGTGTTCAAAAGATTCCTTTGTGAAAAAATACGTGTTTACAATCTTTTTTGGAGGCCACTTTGAGAAACTCAAGAAAATGTGGCGCAAGATCTCTCCAAGCCAAGCTGAGCTTGAAATTCGAACTGCGAATTGAACCGGAAGAACCAATGATCGTCAAAGTTTGGTGTGCAAACTCTGAAACCTTGCAGTCAAAAAAGAATGCACCACTGCACTCAACACACCCAACTTGCACCCAATCCGGTGCGAGCTTGGCGTCAAGAACGGGTTGGGCTGCCAGTCATCGCAAAGAATGCGAAGGTCAGCTAGTGTAGAGTTTAAAGGTTTCCTGTCAACCGAAGAACCAAAACGGACCCAAAAACGCAACACCCCACCACCAAAACCCCGAAACAAACCAAAAACCAACAAAACCAAACAAGAGACCAGCACAGGTCCAGCCAGGAAATCTTCATGATTTTTTGGAGATATTTCTTCCATGCATGGCATAAATTCAATGTGAAACAATGCCTGGGCGTGGACGAATTGCTACTCCTTCTTTGCACGCGTGTGGCTGCCGTTATCGCAAGAATGCGAAGGTCAGCTGCTGTAGAGATTTAAGATTTCCTTGATATCAAAGCAACAAGCCAAAACAACCCAAAAAACAGGCAAACACCAAACAAAACAGCAAAACACAAAACACCGAAAAAGACCAGGAAATCTTGTAGATCTCATGGTGGGATTTTATCACCTTGCCTGACGAATTAGTGTGAAACGAAAACTTGGGCATGGATAAATTGCTGAGGAAGTCAGTTCTCCACCGACTATGTCCTGATGGTTGCCCATGCAAATGCTTGCACAAGGCAAAGTGCGCCCAAAGGCACTTGAATTGCACAGTGCCTGACTGGCAGCTGACATCTTTGACTTTTTTTGCACGAGTCGAGCCGCCATTCATGCAGGAAGTGCACATGTCAGCTTGTGCAGCATTTGGAAGAGTCTCCTGAGTGGAAAGGGGCCAAAACAACACCAAACAACACCCAAAAACAACACCAAAACCACACAACCAACAAAACACAGGGCAGGAGACTCTTGAAAGTGCTCTTGAATGCACATGCATGGGTGAGACAAAGAGTGAAACAGAGGTAGGGCTGCGAGATTGGCCATCCGAGATGCGGTACGAAATGCTTGCTGGCACATCATGACACTGGGTCAAGGGGCCTGCTCAAGCAGGCTGTGTCATCGAGCACCCGAACCTTTGCTGAGTGCTGTTCGCTCCAGTGCGTTGGCACAAGTGACAAGAGTCAACACTTGCCCCTGGAGCCACACTGGCCCCGCACCTCTTTGAGAAGCTCTCATGCTTTCCCAGATGATGCTTGCCCAAGCCTCGATGCCAAATCTCCCACCACTGCCACCTCCATCTCGAGGGGTACCAGAAGGGTGTTTCAGCTCCTCGGGTCTGGAATGCCTCAAACTCTCATCAGAAGTCAACTTTCTAGGCCCTCCAGCCTGTGAAAATTGCAAACGACTTGCCTTTTCTTCTGGCCAAGCTGTTTTGGGTGCACCGCGGCGGGGGGCATCACCTCCCTCCTGTGGAGGGCTGCAGGGTCGATGTGCCTCCGATTAATTCCCACCCAATCCGACAAGGTTGCCCGTACCTCTTCAAGTGAGAGCACGGAGAACACAGCTCATATAGCCAAAGTCAACGCATTCCAGCGCAACCACCGTGGCTAGTGTGTGGTGACCTGAAAGGAGCACTTTTTGACACACAACACGGTGTTAGGGAGGTACTAAGACATGCCTCAATTGTGGGATCGAACAAACTGCATTGTCTGGAATGACGTCTGGGCATTCGCAGGGACGCAGACAGCTTTCGGGTACCAGGCACGCTTGGCCAGGTCTGCTCGGTTGACTGCACAACGCCGTAAGCGTTGCTTTCGATGCTCTCCAAATGCAAAAGTTTGCACAGCGTTCTGATCTCAGGACGCTTTGCTGCATTGAGGGAAGGACGGTGAATGAAGAGAGACAAAGCTTGCACTGTCCAGCAGTACTGAGAGGCCGTTGTTCAATTCGCAGCCCCTGTTTCACCTCTTGCTCTTTTCTGGTCTACGTGACCTCTTGAGTCACATGCCAGTTTGCGGGTGGTCTGGGTGTGGTGTGTTGGTTGTTGTGTTCTGTTGCTTGGTTTTGGGTTTTGTTGGTGGTTTCTTTGTTTTTACAACCTGGCTAGCAACTCTCTTCACTAGCACAAGATGACCTGTGCAATCTCTGTCTTCGATCGCATGCAGGTGAGTTCATTCTCTTCACTGGGCACTTGAGGAAAGGGTGCACAACATTGTTTCTTGGCAGAGCCCATTGAAATCCAGATTTGGACAGTGCACTTTCAATTTCGAAGGCAAAAAGTGACGATCGCAAAGGCAGAGAGGTCCAGACCCTGCTTGCAAGATCAGCCTTTTTGCTCCGATGCAGGCACGAAAAGTGAGACCTTGGTGAAACATATGCGGGGCAGTGAATTATTGCAAAAAAAATTCAGGGTGAGCAGTTGCGAACGCAGTACTGTCTTGTTTCAGGCATCGGCAGTTGCACTTGGTTCAGTGCCCTGTTTATACAGGCCGTTGCGCGAGACATGCAAGGAAGTGCATACCATGCTCACATGAGTATTTCACTTGAGGAGGCATCGGCAATATAGACAGGCGAGCTGGTTTCAGCTGCAAAATTAGGCAGCGGTCAAACGTGAAATTGCTCTTGAATGGGGTCAATGGAAGACCACTGCGGTCAAGGAAGCCCTAGCGTGCCAAACGAAAGGGCAATTCTTTGCCAGCAGTGTGACCTTTCATTGGTATGTTGCACTGTCTATGATTTATGGTTGGCTGTCAACGAGGCTCTGCGAAGGTGCGACGCATGTACTGCCTTTTGTAGCCTCTCTCCACCGGAGGGAGGGAAGTGGGGCCACCTTGCAGTGGTGCACTCCAAAACAGCTCAGCCAGGAGTAGCACACCGCGTCATGGTATCGGACAGTCAAGTGGCCTTTGTTCGTGCAGCAGGGTACGGTATTCACAAGTTGCTGTCTTTGAGTGAGTCATGCATTGCCCCGGTGGAAACTACGCCGTATGCACTGTACACTTTGTACACGGCCAGCAGGGCTTACGCCCACACCCAGGACAAAGACAGAGGTCCTCGCCTGGTATCCGGCCGATCAGGTGTGCAGTTGTGCGGCTCGCAACTTCTTTTCATACGCATTCAAAGGTTACCTTGGAGTAGCAATCGGCTTCAAGCAAGGGCAGGTAGGTTCAGTGCTGCTAGCGCTCAGAAAGCGGTTTCTGCCCATCAGATTCAGTGGGGTCTTCTCCGTCTGGAGGGAGGAGATTGATCCACTTCGGTATTTCAAAGCGAGAGCACAAGGCGAAGGAGTTGCTTTCTGCATAGGGCCCTCTCCAGGTTGTTCGTTTGCCCGTCAGTGTAAAGCGTGTCAGTTGTTCACAGTCAAAGAAGGCTCTGTGAGCGATATAGCGAAGTGTAGGCGGAATGTCCACTTCTATGCATTGCAGAACATGAACGCTTCTTTGCGAATATGTCGCAATCTGGTTGGCAGCCAGATGTGCTGAAGACTCACGCAATGTGCCTGAAAAACCTACTACCTTAAGTAAGTAGATTACAAACGTCCTAAACACAAAGCAAAAGCACGCGCAACAGCTCACAAACAACGCGAAAGCACTCGCACACCTTTTACGCGCACTCTCTGGGCCTTGAGCCAAAGTGAAGTTCAAAAGGGGCTATGAGGCATTCCTGTAACAAGCGATTTCCATGCGAGATACCGAAGGTATCGAGCTTAAAGCATTCAAACATGCACAAAACTGTTCAAGCAACATTCAAACTACAAAAGCTACGAAAGCTTCTGTTCACAATGCTTCCAAGC